AATTATCATTATTTCAGCAACCTTGCAAGGGAGGTGGAGGATGCTACTGCAGCCATGAAAATTGGTGTTGAGTATGTACATGTTAATGGTGACGTCAAAGCAAAGAACAATCAAACAAAAACACTTTGCACAGAGACACCTGATAATTTTCAGTGTTCTGGTCTACCTCAGGAGGTTCTGGACTCTCTTGGAGGTTTTTAAGCAGATGGTCATTTGTCGTGGATGCTTTAGTTGGGATTTCTGCATTGCAGGGGGTTGGACTAGATAGGTATGGCCATCCAGACAGTTTCTGGGATTTAGCAAGCACAACCTTTATCTCATTTCAAGTGTTGCAAATTAAGAAATAGTTCACTTATCTCAATTTTGCTCAGAGAGGCACTCTGATTTGGAGCTTGGCCACTACTTTGTAGTAGGGATGGAAGGAAAGTTTAATTCAAAACACATTTAAAGGCCAATCTACCTAATTTGCACTTTCTGAAATATTATGAGGACTGAAACACAGCCATCCTTCAAAATTCATACTTCTTTGAATTTGGAATGCAGCTCTCCAGCCAAAGCACAAAAATGCATAAACTGGGGTAAATATTGCATACAAAATCATATATTGGTGGAAATGCATTAATACTATGAATGTGTATATTGGGAAAAATGTATTAAAAATGTGTATAATAGGAGAAATTTGCACACAAACACAAAAAGAATTATGATGATGTCTGAGGAACTTAAGACTGAAAATGTGGGATACTAAAAGAAACAAAATGAACAGTTTCACCATCCTTCCTCTGTAGACATGACTGCAGCTGAGAAATTGGAATGAGCTGCTTGGGTTTTAGAAAGATCATATGAAATATTGGTTTTTAATTATTAGCGGTTGACCCTAGGATGGATTTGGGCCCTGGTAAGGATGTTCCTTTTTTATATGAGGAAGTTGCTGTATTACAGGTCGGACCACTGCTCCCTCTTCCTCAGTATTGTCTAGGGGTAGTGGTTTACAAGTTTGCAGATTAGAGCCTTTCTCAGCTCTTCCTGAAGACACTGGTGTTTGAACCTGAGAACTTTTTCATACAAAGTGCTGCAGTCTCTTCCCTGAGGCATGGTATAAAAGTTAACAGAAAATGGACATATATCTGGTGGGTTCAGCAGGTACCTTTATTAATAATTTGCATATGCATGTTCATCTTTTGGTGGCTTGCTTGCAACAGATCAAAAACCACAAATCATTTTCCTGATCTCCTAATACTGTTTTTCAAATAGTAGTTTTCAACAGAAGCGGTTCAAATATTTAGCAGAAATGATTGAGGGATTTACTGTTGAATGATGACCTATTAAGTGTCATGCATATACAGGTGAACCAGACATTAGATTGGTGTCATGGTTAGAAACAGCTCTCACATAACCCTGTTAAAATTATTTATTTATTTATTTATTTATTTATTTATTTATTTATTTATTTCTACCCTGCCCATCTGGCTGAGCCTCCCCAGCCACTCTGGGCAGCTTCCAACAGAACGTTAAAGATACAATAAAACATCAATCATTAAAAACTTCCCTAAACAGGGCTGCCTTCAGATGTCTTCTAAATGTCATATAGTTGCTTATTTCTTTGACATCTGATGGAAGGATGTTCCACAGGGTGGGCGCCACTACCCAAAAGGCCCTCTGCCTGGTTCCCTGTAACTTCGCTTCTCGCAGTGAGGGAACCACCAGAAGGCCCTCAGTGCTGGACCTCAGTGTCTGGGCAGAATGATGGAGGTGGAGATGCTCCTTCAGGAATACAGGACTGAGACCATTTAGGGCTTTAAAGGTCAGCACCAACACTTTGAATTGTGCTCAGAAATGCACTAGGAACCAAAGTAGGTCTTTTAAAACCAGTGTTATGTGATCTTGGCGGTCGCTCCCAGTCATCAGTCTAGCTGCCGCATTCTGGATTAGTTGTAGTTTCCAGGTCACCTTCAAAGGTAGCCCCACGTAGAGCGCATTGCAGTAGTCCAAGTGGGAGATAACTAGAGCATGCACCACTATGGCAAAACAGTCTGCAGGCAGGTAGGGACTCAGCCTGCATTCCAGATGGAGCTGGTAGACAGCTGCTCTGGGCACAGAATTGACCTGCACGTCCATGGACAGTCCAAAATGACTCCCAGGGTACGCACCTGGTACTTCAGGGGCACAGTTGCCCCTTTCAGGATTAGGGAGTCCCCCCCCCACCTGCTCACCCCCTGTTCCCCCATATAAAAAATACAGTTGGTTGAAAACAAATTGAACTAAGTTTATTGATGATTAAACCTGTGCTTTAAAACAAAATAATAAACTGGGGTACATCAACAGACACTAAGAGAGTGTTCTTGAACACACATACCAGAACACATTTACAATACTCCTGGGACAGTGTCGAATCTGGGGGACTCAAATTTCAGTGCCCCCCTAGGCAGTGCTAACCCTCCCCTCCTGCCTCTCGCCTTCCATTCTACCTCATAGTTGTGGAATGCTCTGTGTCACCCCTGAGGTTCTGCATCTGGTTTGGTTGTGCTCCCCTAAATCCACCTCTGCCTGAGAGTAGGTTCTATTGGACACTGAGAGCTGGTTCCCATGTAATACTAAGCCAAACCATGGCTTGGCGTGACCACACAAACCTGAGGTTTCCTGCAGAGGAGATAGCAACTGCTGCTGCTGGACTGTTGTGGATTAAGGTTTGTCTTGCTCAGAACAAGCCATGAGTGGTAAACCCAGGGGCAAACCTTGGTTTGCTGAAGCAGTATAAACCATAAGCCTGGGTTTGGGCAACACACTGAACCAAATTGAGACTTAACTCACAGCAGCAGAGGCAGAGGAGGAGAAAAGTGGTCATTCTCTCCTCTCTGCTAAGCCTGCACACTCCTGCATTTGTACAAAGCCATAGTTTGGCTCTGCAAACCAGCTCATTGTAAACATGTTTAGGACTGCAGTGTCAGAAATGGCAAAACACACCAGATTCTTTTCACTAGACAGTGTCCTAGCACCTGCTGAGGTTCCTTCTTTCTGCTCTTTTCTCTTGTTCTTTGGTGCTGCTTTCTGTTTTTTCATTCTAACCCGGTACTTTTAACCTCTCGTCTCTGAGGAAACATATGGAATACAGTCTTCACAGTGCTGCACAAAAGCTTTAATAATTTTCTGTTACTGCAAGAAGCTAGTGTCAAACATGCATAAGTAAATTCATAAATATATATTATCTGATTATAAAAATCACCTTTTACTAAATAGACTACTATGTGAATAATAATATATTTTCACCCTGTTTTTCAAAGTATACCATTTCCACCTCCACCTCCTTACTACAAAATGAAACAATTTGAAGCTTAAAATGGAAAACCTTTGGCTGATAGTATTTTTGTTCAACTAAATGCATGTATTATGCATCTGTGTGCTTTGGGTTATAAATGTGCTTGGCGCTTGCTGTAATTTATAAGACTTCACTTTTGGCTGATTTATAGGAAATTTCATTAATCTCTACAGCACAGGGACCTTGCAGTGAGTAGCAGATTGAAAATGAAGCCAGGGCTGGGTTTTTTAGAAGCTACCACAAATGAATCAGCACTGAGAGACTTTGAATAGTAATGATCATTTGCAGAGTCGAAAGGTCTTTTTTCACTTACACTAAGATCCGAAAGAAACATTTTTGGAGGTAACACTGAAATTGCTAACCCTGCAGCTATGGGAGATATATATTTTTCTGTCGTTTAAATAGCCATTCTTTATTCCTGTGTTCAGCACACATTTACTAATGAGACTTTCTCTGCTGCTATGGCCAAATATGAGGATAGTGGAGAGTGTATCAGAAAATCAGATGAGTCTGCTTAATGGTGGGAGAGAGCTGATGCTCAGCTCAGCAGTTCACAGTAACTCCTTTTTATCTGCTTTCCTGAAAGAAGCAAACAATAAGCATTTGGTGAGCATTTCTATTCAAGTAGTAAAAGCTTTACTTGCACCATTCCTCAGTTCTATGTTGTGTACACCATGGTGACTGTCCGTTAGGGGGAATAGCACAAGAAGTAAAGGCAACAGGAGTCTGCAGATTTGACTGTGTCATATAGACCATACACGCATGTCAATCCTATACTCATGCTTGCCTTTTAATCACTGCTCTTGGTAAACTAGAGGCAAACTACATTGGCCGCCATTTTTGGTTTTGCATTCAAACAATTGTCTCGACTTCTTTCCATGTTTTTAAGCAGCAATGAAGTTTCAAAATGTACCATTCTTGGTTCTTGTTCTGAACTTATTCCCTGACATGTTGGGTCCCCATCTTAATTGTTAGAATTTCTGTATCAATTGAAAAACAAACATGGGCTATGAAATTCCAGTTCCATTCTATGCATGGTTTCATGGAAGTTCTTCTTGATAAAAAAAACAAAAACAAGACAAGCATATATCACAACAACGATAGTGTTGCATTTTCATTTATTATTATTATTATTATTATTATTATTATTATTATTATTATTCATTTGCAGAATTTTTTCATGATTTCCAATATTGTATTCAATCGTGTCCCTTTGCTGCCAGAAACAGCAGAGGCTTCCATCAGCAGAATGGGGAGGAAGGCAGGTCTTGCCAATTCTCCCTCTCCCCTCCTTGTGGCCCCCTCAAATCTGTTCCAGTAGATTGAATGGCCCTTCAGAATAGTGTTTGAAGGGGTGCAGAGCGCTGCAAAAGGGAGGAAGAATTGGCACCACCAGAAACGATCTAATATTTCAGTTAGAATTGTATGCCATTTTATGTGTTATCTTCTTTTGGTGACTAGACTGGATAGTTCAACAGAGAGTTCAAAGGCTCAAGTAGCAATTTTAATCCTCCATTAGTATATTAAGATGCATTCCCCAGAAATTTGTAGGCAGGTGAATGGGAAATTATGTGTATCAAGTATTTCATAAAATTGCCATTTTAAAAATATATAAAGTTGAGGAAATTGTAGTGAAAATTAACAATTGGAGCTAACATGATCCTTCTTTATTTGTTTCTTTCAGACTATTGGAACTCCTGAAGGACCAACACCAAATAAATTATGAATGTTGAACAAGATGACCTTACATCCACAGCAGATAATGATAGGTCCTAGGTTTAACAGGGCCCTATTTGACCCCTTGCTTGTGGTGCTACTGGCTCTTCAACTTCTTGTGGTGGCTGGTTTGGTCAGAGCTCAGACTTGCCCGTCTGTCTGTTCCTGCAGCAATCAGTTTAGCAAAGTAATTTGTGTGAGGAAGAACCTGAGAGAGGTCCCTGACGCCATCTCCACAAACACACGGTTATTGAATCTCCATGAGAACCAGATCCAAATCATTAAGGTGAATAGCTTCAAACACCTGAGACATCTAGAAGTCTTGCAGCTGAGCAGAAATCACATTAGAACAATTGAAATAGGGGCCTTCAATGGTCTGGCTAATCTCAATACTTTGGAACTTTTTGACAATCGTCTTAGCACCATCCCGAATGGGGCTTTTGTGTACTTGTCAAAACTGAAGGAGCTTTGGTTGCGAAACAACCCCATTGAGAGTATTCCTTCTTATGCTTTTAATAGAATCCCTTCCCTGCGAAGGTTGGACTTGGGGGAATTGAAAAGGCTTTCATATATCTCAGAAGGTGCCTTTGAAGGTCTGTCCAATTTGAGGTATTTGAACCTTGCTATGTGCAACCTTCGGGAGATCCCTAACCTCACGCCACTTGTAAAACTGGATGAGCTAGACCTTTCTGGGAATCACTTAACTGCTATCAAGCCTGGGTCCTTTCAAGGATTAATGCACCTTCAGAAATTGTGGCTGATCCAATCCCAGATTCAAGTGATTGAAAGGAATGCCTTTGATAACCTTCAGTCGCTAGTGGAGATCAACCTGGCCCACAACAATCTAACACTACTGCCTCACGACCTCTTTACACCTCTCCGTCTAGAAAGGATCCACCTACATCACAACCCTTGGAACTGCAACTGTGACATCCTGTGGCTCAGCTGGTGGATTAAAGACAAAGCGCCCTCGAACACTGCATGCTGTGCCCGTTGCAACACGCCTCCTAGCTTGAAAGGGAGGTACATTGGTGAGCTGGACCTGAATTACTTCACGTGCTACGCTCCTGTGATTGTGGAGCCACCAACAGACCTCAACGTCACTGAAGGCATGGCTGCAGAGCTGAAATGCCGAGCATCGACGTCCCTGACCTCTATATCTTGGATTACTCCAAATGGGTCTGTTATAACACATGGGGCTTATAGGGTTCGGATTTCTGTGCTTAGCGATGGCACGTTAAATTTTACGAGGGTGACTGCGCAAGACACGGGCTTGTATACATGCTTGGTGAGTAACTCTGTTGGGAATACCACAGCTTCTGCAACACTCAATGTAACTGCACAGGAGTGTATTACTTATTTTTCAACCATCACAGTAGAAACTGTGGAACCTTCTCAGGATGAGGCGCGGACAACAGAACAGGTTTGGCCCACACCGGTCATTGAATGGGACACCACCAATGTGACAACCTCTCTCACACCACAGAGCACAAGGTCAACGGAAAAAACGTTCACCATCGCTGTGACAGATTTGAGCAATGGGATTCCAGGAATAGATGAGGTTATGAAGACTACCAAAATCATAATTGGTTGTTTTGTGGCAATCACTCTTATGGCAGCGGTGATGTTGGTCATTTTCTACAAAATGAGAAAGCAACATCACCGGCAAAACCACCATGCTCCAACACGAACTGTAGAGATCATTAATGTGGATGATGAGCTTACAGGTGACACGCCTATAGAAAGTCATTTGCCCATGCCAGCAATAGAGCATGAGCACCTAAATCACTATAACTCTTATAAGTCTCCTTTCAACCACACAACAACAGTTAACACAATAAATTCAATACACAGTTCAGTGCATGAACCATTATTGATCCGAATGAACTCGAAAGACAATGTGCAAGAGACTCAGATCTAAAACATTTACAGATTTAAAACACAAGACAGTTTATTAAAAAAAATGACACAAATGACTGGGCTAAATCTACTGTTTCAAAAAAAGTGTCTTTACAAAAAAAAGAAATTTATTTATTAAAAATTCTATTGTGAGAGAAAGCAGACAAAATTATGTGTATTCCTCAGAACCTCTTTTTGCTGCACTTATTTACCCTACTTCTTTCCTCCCCTTTCTTCTTCCCCCTTCCCAAGCCCATTTGCCATATTTTTCATAGAACAACTTGATTCTCTAAAAAAAAAGATTAAAAAAAAACTGGTCTAGGGATTTTTGTAAGAATTCTGTTAACGCTTTGGGAATTTTTATGGTGAATTCTAGTGGTGAGATTCGGTCTATTTTGTCTTTCTTCATTTCATTTTCTTCTCATGCCCTTTTTGAAATGGTTCAACAGGGAAATGGATGTTAGTGGTAGATTCATAAGAACAATCAAGGAACAACAACAGCAAAAATAACAAAATATTTTATTTTTATTTTTCACATAATGACCTGTTCTGTATTTCCTGAAGGGACCATTCTGTGGAAGAAGAAAACAAAAACAAAAACAATCCAAGAAATTAATTTTCATGTGAGCATCTATAAAACCCATGATCTTTTAAACAATTCTAGAACCAGGATTTGTAGTTCAAACACTAAAATAAGATTATAAATAAAATATTGTTGGTTTTTTCTGTATTTGGACAGAAATCATTTTTAGTGTGGCTTCTGATGTCAAAAGGTGGTTAAAAACTCTACATTCCCCTCTTTTGCATTTTCCTAAAAAAAAAGAAAACTTTATAACTTACAACAGTTTGGATTTTAACTCATCATTAGTAATATATTTACTTTTAGCCTATGTAAACATTAGCATACCATGTGTGAAGAATAGTGGCCAAAATCAACCCGGTTCATATTGTATTGGTGGTTTGCGACCTGCTGCAGCATAATTCCATCCCACCCTGCTCAGATAATGTGAAAAGTCCTGGACCACAGGGAAGGAGCCCGTGCTGTGGTCCCTTCATACACCTACACTGTCAAGGGGAAAGGCTTGCAGAATGGGCTTCTTCCCACATATGGGTTTTTAAAAAAATGTTACTTAAACAGTTCAGGAAGAAGCCATGCAACAGTTGCCATAACACCAGCCTATCATGGAAAGGGGTCTTAACTCAAGCTGAGCCAGAGATCTCCATGCTCCATATTCATGGGACCATTAATCCCCCACAAAAAAGGCTGGGTATCAGTGGCTTTCAGGTGACAGACAAAATGAAGAATGCTTGGGTGGTGGCTGGGCTTAACCTTAAAGTTGAGGTGGCTGAGGGTTTTCTTCACAAACAAACAAACAAACAAACAAACAAACAAACAAACAGGCTTTATCGCCATTTCCATTGGAAGCTTGGATGGCTTCAGCAGCCTGGAAGCCTTCCCTTTGGAATTTGGAACAGAGTTGTTCTGGTAGAGCAAAATTATTTCTTAATGTAGCATCATTCACAAGTGGATTCTTGGGGGCTTCCCATTGGTATCCCCCCCCCACATGTCAAATAAAAGAGAGCAAACCCCTAGTCCACCTTGACTTAAATGCAAGCCAACCCCCAACCAAAAGTGTGTAAATTTCATCCCCCAAAGATTCATCCATACTTCTGGATGCCTTCTGCAACAAATAAAGATAATTAACCATAGAATACATTTTAAATTCTTTCTGGTTTTTGGGACATCTTCCAGAATGGGAAGAGGACATGTGGCGGCAGCAGCAAGGGTGGGAGGAGTTAGATTTGACAGGGCTGGTTGTATAATACTTTTTTAAAATGGTCCTAGGCCATGGTTTTACTTACTATTGCTGATCTAGAACTAAACATCCACTCAGGTCATTACTTTGGTTGAATGAAAACACTCACGGATGCAAATATGAATGTTGTTTAACTAGCCAGCACAATCAAAAGATGTCTGAGCATGATGAGCTAAAATGCAATCAAGGTACTGATAACTTTTAGGAAGCAACTTGCAACATCAAGGGGTTAACAAAGAAATTAAGATGTTCTAACAAATTGTTTTGGTTAGTGTCAGACGAATGGAAAAAGTAAAAACCATAAGTACTACAGTTCCCAAATGAGAAGGCAGATGTGGAGTCCTTGTGGAACATTTTTGGAAGACGTGTCTTCCCACCCAGCTTTACAGCAGTGATACAATCAACGTGTTGGTGGAAATGTGTGGATCTATTTTTTTGTGATGTGGGAAGCAGATCTTAGTGGAAATCATCTTCTGGTGAAATAATATCCCTGCATTAAAAATGGGGAAACGGGAAGCAGCTTAGATGACTCAGTGTACCAAGAGCAGAAGTAAGAAGTTTTTTGCATATCTCCCCCACCCACCAACTACTCACCACAGCCAGTGTCCTAGAGCCCAACCATGCAGGTGTGCTATGTACTACAATTGCAGCAGTAGCTCTTGGGAGAACTCCATCTCCCATGGGTTACAGGGCACAATGATATGCTGATCCACAGTTCATTGATGAGCTCAGACTCCAGGATGCCTTGGGTGTTGGGGAGTGGAAAGAATGTATCTCTTCCACATTCCATGTAAGTCTTTGAATGAAAGGGAAAGGGGGTATTTTGGGAAGTGAGCGTATACTGGAAGATGTTTGGGAGGATGGAAAGCTGGTGGAGAGTGGAGGTTATGTTTTGAGCCTCTGAAAATAAAGTTATTTTTAAATACATAATTTGGTAGTAAACCAAGCCAGTCTGAGGTGACTCAGGACACACTCTGCCATGTCTAACACCAACTCCAGCTGCCATTAACATACCTCTTACCAGCACATGTCTCTGAGTTTATCCTAGTGACAAAGCACTACACAGGGTTGTTCTGTTAGGATCCCGTTCTGGTACTTGTACATGACATCTGTTAAGGGTTTCTAGCCCTTTGAAACCCTTTTACCCCCATGGTGCCTTTAATGGGAGAAAAGCTTCTCAGCCTGCCCAGTGCTTATGCAAGTGGCAAAGACTATTTTTCAACAGTTTAGAAATCTTTCAGGGTGTTCCAAACAATGAAGGGAAAGGAACACAAGCCACGAGGTAGGAATGTTTGGTCCTCCTTGTTTGTCCGGGCAAGCAACTCCTTTTAAGAAAAGTATGTGTAGCCAAATGATAGGCAGACTCCTTCGTTAAGAAGGTGGGTGCCAACAGACAATTTCTTATCAAAGCAAAAGAGAGTTGTTACAGAAAAGGAGCGGTTGGGAGTAGCATTAAAAGAGTACAACAAAAGGTTATGTGTGCAAATGCATTTCTACACAGGCTGGCAAAGCTGAAATACCAGAGTCCTCAAAAGTGGTAGTCTTAGAAGCATCATTCGGTTTCAAGCCATTTCAGAATGGATGTATACAATCTGGGATGTGGGCAACTCCAGGAAAACTCTGTACAGTGGTACCTCAGGTTACGTACGCTTCAGGTTACAGACTCCGCTAACCCAGAAATAGTGCTTCAGGTTAAGAACTTTGCTTCAAGATGAGAACAGAAATCGTGCTCTGGCGGCGCAGTGGCAGCAGGAGGCCCCATTAGCTAAAGTGGTGCTTCAGGTTAAGAACAGTTTCAGGTTAATCACGGACCTCCAGAACGAATTAAGTACTTAACCTGAGGTACCACTATACTTCACTAGGAGTGAATTCTCTCAGGAAGACAGCAGCTAGGGAGAAAGGAAATGCAACTTCCATGAAGACTTGTGTCCCACCAACTGTTTTGCAGAGCAAACAGTCACTACTGGTAGACCACATCCAGACCCTTTTGTCACAGTCTAATGGGTAGCTGAGAGGTCCTCAAACAGAGTATAAAAGAGGGGCATGTGACCAGCCAATTAAGAGTAGGACAGCTTCCATCTACCTAAGGATTAGCCCTTTTCTCTATGCAAGAGAAGAAATCCAGAAGGCAGGCAGGTAAAGTGGCTGACTCCATAGCATACTCCCCGTGACAGGATTCAGACACAAGAAATGTATTTGCACCTTTTAAGTAGAGCTGGACCATTAGTTGCATATGTTGACTGAGTTAAACAAAATTGGTGGCCTGTTTAAGAATAGGAACTGGAGGATCAAGCTGGTGACTAAAACAACAAAAATGTCACAGGTCTGCAGCAGAGTCCAGTCCACTCATAAGTTTTAAAATGAAAGGTTTTGAGACCCAATATGGGAGCCAGAAAGTGGCTTGTGAATGACCCATTTAAGTGATACATTTTTATTAACTTGATCCGGGGTTGAGATGCTAATAAAATAGTCAACATTACTATTGCTGAAATAAATATCTTTGCAGTCTGGTTTTTTATGTATTGTACTGTTAACTGAATTAATAGTGTCAAAAGTTACTGGCATTACTGTGAGTTGATTGCAACCAGACAAAATGAATATGTGTTGACATTGTTTCCTGTTGGGTATTTGCACATTTGTCTAAACGCAGTGTTTCCCAACCTTTTTTGGGCAAAGGCACACTTGTTTCATGAAAAAAATCTCGAGGCACACCACCATGCCAGATGGGGAAAGGTCACTTTTTACTTATGTAAAAAAAAATAAAAAAATAGTAACAGCATAGAAGGTAATGGTTAGGCTAGCATCCCTCTTCCAAATATGCTAGGTTTTTATTTGCAGGGACTGTTCTACATGGGAAAGCATTCAGCACTGTCATTCTCCCACCTGCCATCTGAATTGGTACTATTCTGGGTCAACTTACTCTGCTGCATGTGTAGATGAAAATGGCACCAAGTGTGGGGGAGGGGGCAGAACAGGTTTCAGATACAGGATATTAAGCATACACGTACTTCAGATTGAACTGGTTGCTTGCTTTGCAAGTTTTCATTTCCCAAATGACTGCCTTGGCAAACGCAATACCTACCAGGCTCAACGCCGGTCTCGAGCTGCCGCTTCCCGTGCTCTCAAGGACCCGGGAGGAGGAAGGCGTGAAGGGAATCCTGAAGGCACGAAAACCTCGCGCATGCGCAGGCCTTCCGCCTGCGACAGCCCAGTAGGCCGGCCGAAGCGAGCAGCGATGGGATGTGGGAGGGAGCTCGCTCGCCGCCCCGCGTGTGCCTATGTGGGGCACGTTACAGCCCCGTGACGTCAGCGCCACGCAGGCAGCCAGGCAGGCAGCCAGGCAGGCAGACGGCGAGAGCCCCGCGCTGGGCGGCCTCTCCTCGCCGTCGCCGCCCCGCCTCTCGCCGCCCGACTCGCCCGCCTCCCTCCAGGCAACATCTCGCGGCACACCAGGCAACGTCTCGCGGCACACTAGTGTGCCGCGGAACACCGGTTGGGAAACACTGGTCTAAAGAACGCCACATATTAGGGGCTGAAAACTTGAAATCTTGGAGAAGGGGAGTTCCAGCTGAGAGGGGAAAGGGATAGGTAAAAGGAGGAGACACTCCCATATGCATTTCCTATAGGCTTCCCACATTCTTGTCTCTATTACATCTTTTCCTGGAGAGTTTCTGTCGCATTCCCTTTCTCAACAGCTGGTGGGGATTCAATTTGGAGAAGTAAGCCTGGCTTTTGTGCTACTCTGGTAAAGTTAACTGAAGACAAACAGCATATGTTAATGTTGTCTATTTTTTGCATGCCTGCAGAAGTATGCTAATCTTATTTATCCCCCATGCCACTGCAAAATATTTTATTCTGGACCAGATTTTAAAGATTTGGAGCTCTGGCTGAAGAATGGAATCCAAAACTACGG